CAATCTATCCCCTCAGACTTCATCATCTCAATATAGGGTATCTGTCCCCACTTCACACACACACACACACACACACACACACACACATGCACATACACATACACACACACATATGCATAACTTTAAATTCAAATGGAAGCACGAAAGATCTCAGATAGCCAAATAAATCATGAACAATAAAATCATTGTTGGAACCATATGCTTTCAAGATATGTAGAGAGTCATAGTAATAAAAACAGCATGATATGGACACAAAAAAGGCACATTGATCAATGGAGTAGAATTGAGGACCAAGATAGAAATGCAACACTTACAGCCACCTGATTTTTGACAAAGACACCAGAAAAATATACACACTGCAAAAAAGACCACATCTTTTAACAGATAGTTCTGGGAAAACTGGATATTGAACATAGAACACAGAAACTTGATCCTAATCTCTCACCTTTCACAACAAAAATGTTGTGAAACATTCAAAATCAGTTCCTTTTGTCTTTTTGAAATATACATCATGTTATCATTATCTAGTCACGTTACCACACAGTAGAGCACCAGAACTGATTTCTCCTATTCAATTGCAGCTTAGACTCCTGCCCCACCTTTGACCACCCCTTCCTTTTTCTTGCTATCTCAGGTTCTGGGAACCACTACTCTACTCTCAAATGCTGTAAGTTTTACTTTTCTAGGTTCCACAATTGAGTAAGTTCTGTGTTTCTATGTCTGGATTATTCCTTATTTCCCTTAATACTATGTGCTTTATGTTTACTCATAAATGAACCTGTTGCATATGGCAGAATTTCATCAACACTGTTCTGTGTGCATATATGTCACATTTTCTTTATCCATTCATCAGATGATGGACACAGATTTAACCACATTTCTTGAATGTTGTAAGTCTACAGTAAATATTGGAGTGTAATGCTTCTTTGTCATACTTCATTTCCATTGACTATTTGCCTATTAGCAGGGTTACTGGATCACATGCAAGTTGTACTGTTAACTGTTCTAGAGTTCTCCATAATGCATTCTATAATTTGCATTTCTACCAACCGAGCGCAAGAGTTTCCTTTTCTCCACAGTCTTGCCAATACTTACCTTTTATCTTTCATTCTTGCTAATTAGACCTCACCTTAAATATCCTCTCTCACTGCACTATGTAAATATTTTCCATCAAATCATGGTTCATTGCATTATTGTTTAATTTTCTATTTCAGCTTTAGCTTACCCACTTATTACTGGTGATTCTTTCTTCAGAGTAAGTTTCATAGGAGCCTGGACCCTATGCACCTCACTCCATCTTATTATTAATACCCAAAAGAGGACCAACCATTAATATTCCTCTATGTTTAAACACAGGTAGACATCAAAAACATAATGTTGAGCAAAAGAAAATAGCACTGAATTTTCTTGCATAATTCTTAATAGAAAAAATGGGTGTGGTCATTTAACTTGTAAAACAGAAAAAGTAGGAAAAGGAATGTCACTGGAAAACTAATCCTTCAAAGTACACATTTCGGTATACCTGTTCTAGGTATGTGTCAAGGTGATGATCGTAGGAGCCAAAATCGTATGTTGCTGTTCATGTCTTTCTTCATTAATTAAAACAAAGTCATGACTAAAACTAGCTTTTCAGACTTTCACTGTTTTCTAAATGAACTATTCCTCCAGGCAAAAATTCTGAAAAGTTCCTTTCCAGTCAAACAGACTGTATTAATTACTTTTCTGTTGCTATGATAAAACACCATGACCAAGGCAGTTTATAGAAGGAAGAGCTTATGATTCCAGGGAAAGCATAGCAACAGGAGAAGCATGGCAGGTGCAGCAGGCCAGAGCATAAAGCCGAGCATCGCATCTTCAAGTAGGCTCTGGAAGCAGAGAGAGACTGGAAATCTGGCAAGGCTTAAGAACTCTCAAAGCCTTCTCCCAGTGACATGCTTCCTCCAGCATGGTCACACTTCCTAAAGTTTCCATGACCCTCCCCAAACAACACCACAAACTGGTGACCAAGAGTCCAAAGACTTGGAACCTAAGGGGTACATTCTCATTCAAACACTACACAGACTTTATAAAATCTTCTCTAGTGAGTGTGGAAGGTAATGCAGCCTTGTGGGAAGGTATGAGCTGCAGATGGTGAACAGTGAAATGAGGCTGTGGGCATTGCTCTGATCCTAATCCATACAGTGAATCCAATCAGCTGGATGGAATCACGAAGGTTTCCCTGTAACCTAAGTCTAATGAACTGATAGAATGTTCAGCTTAAGTTTGTCCTTCCATATTTTGTTTTCCAACTAAAAACAATAGACAGTCTCCAAAGAAAACAAGTTTCAGGAGAACCATCTGTACACGATGAAGCATATTTCTATTCATCTAATTCTATGAAATTATGGACATTTCTTATTATTGTTTACCACTTTCTAATTGTGCAAATAAATAAAACAATCCTTGAATAGTTTTCAAGGTTCATAAAATAAATCAAGTTTATTATGCTGATTCTTGGCACCAAGGGAGTAATGATATTTTATAAGCTCAAGGAAAATTTTAGAAAATATCAGAAATCTGGAGTTGTGAGTGCCTAATATGATTCTTTGTGGTAAAAATATAGATTTATTAAAAGTGAAGAAGCATAAAGTACACGCCATAGAATGGGAGCATCATGAGCAGGATGCTTCCAGATCTTTACCCAACTGTCTTAAAAGAAAAGAAATTAAGGTATGTAGATTTACTATATATGTGTAATCTGAAACATTTATTTATACTCTTTTAAAGATGTGGTCTTATTATGTAGCCCAAGCTAGCCTTAAATTCAATATCTTTCTGCCTCAGCCTCTTGAGGGCTTGGTTCTACGTAGGCTCTCCATGCTTGGCTGTATAACCTTTGTTAAGTAGCAAACTACTTTCCTAGGGAGATGTGAACAAGAGTTTACTAGCCACAGCTATGAACCACAAACAGACTGAAGAAATGATTCTACCAAAGTCCAACTTGGGAAAACAATGAAATCATTGAGGTTACTTGCAAGTGTAAGGATGAGGGGTTACTTACAGGAGCATGAACAAAGACAGCTATATCACCAAAAAGCTCAACCAAACATAGGTGATGATTCAGGAAGGCTACAGCCATGGAGCTCTCTGTATGACTGGCAGGCAGCTCCACAGATTGGGAAGTCTCTCCGTGACAATTGCTTACTGTTTCTATAAACCTTGGGGAGGAGTCTTGTGAATCTCATTAGTTTCAACTATGTCTTAGGAAGTTTGTTTACTTTGTGAATCTCTTGAGCCGCCCACCTCTCCTCAGGAGAAAATGTTTCAATTTGGAAGAAAATGTTAAGCAACAAAATAGAACAAAAATTGAAAATTGATATTTCCATAAGGCAATCTGCATTTTGTGATCTCAGAACAGAAACACTAAATGGCCACAAATGGCCAAAGAATAGAGAAAAAGAGTCTGTATAGCCTGGGCCTTTGGACAGGACTCCTGTATTAAACTCCACCCACCCAGGGCTCAGGGACCATTGTAGAAGAGAGGGCAGAAAGATAGTAAGAGCACGGAAGAGGTGCATGACCATGTGGAAAGTCTACAGGCTCCTGAGACCCTGCTTATATGAATCTACAGCAATGGTGTCAGCAAGCACAAGACCCATGCAAATTCAAGCAGACAAAATCCCAGCAGAGAACTGGGGAAATGGACAGCAGGCCCCAATTTTAGCTGAAGAACTATTGGCAGCTGATTACTGTTAGGTGAGGGAGAGCTGACCTTTAAGGGAGTGACTCTAATAGGCTGAATCAGTGGATGAACTTGCACTGAGGGATGTCTTGACTGGATAGGCCTTGACATAAAAGACGGAATGCAAGAAATCCTGTGGGGGTCTATGGGAGGGTGCAGATGAAGGAGGAATATACAGAGATGCTTAAGGTGTTTCCTATGGCATGCATAAAAATTCAATAAAAATATACAAAAAATACTAAAATGGGTTAATTATTGATCTTTGAGAAAAAGAATGTTAATTTTTGAGACAGGGTCTCCTTGTAAGCCCCAACTGGCCTGGAACTCAATATATAGACCAGGCTGGCCTTGATTTCACAGAGATCTACCTGCTTCTGCCTCCTGAGTACTGGGATTAAATGCATGTGCCACCATGCCATGCTAAGGTTAATAATGTTTTGTGATGTCTATATTTTTATGTTTCTGATTTCCAATCTTGCCTTTTTGTTATTACATCAAGAGACAAAATACAGAGCCAGTTATCTCTCAAATTTCCATTTTTCTTCTGTAGTTATAAAATAGATTATGATGTGATTATTTATGTAGACTACATTTTTTAAAAAATGAATTTAAAGTCACCAAAAAAGTGTTTGTATCTGAGCATACTTATTGCTGGTGTTTTGTTACTATGTCAGTTTGAAAGTTGAAAATGACTGGGAAATAAAGAAAAAGCTAATGTTTTCCACAGAATATTTTACTGTTTTCATCTAGTCCAGAGTTGTTTCACTGGACCAAACCCAAAGCTTCTAATGGCCTCCCATATGCTTTGGGGTAGAAGACACAGAAAAATAGCCTGAGCCAGGTCTAAGTTCCTCATAGGTGCTAGGATACTGGCTGTGTATATTCTGTTCATTTTCATCCATTCCTAAGCCAGCTGATTTCTCTTTCCTCATTCCAAGTCTGATGATTGGAACAACAATGCACATGTCTCCATGCATAGCGATTTCTTGTGAATTTAAGGAATATCAACTGCAGTTCTAGGTGTTTTTCTCAAGTATTTCCTTAGAGATTGAAAAAATAAAAAACGAAACCTAGCCAACTCCATTTTTGTGGTATATGGTAGTGATGTGACAGCATGAAGAGGGAGACAAGCCAGAAGGCTGAGGTGTACATCCTGGTGCACATCCCTGGGTAGCCTCCCGAGCCAGCAGCACAGGAAGGAAGAAGGTAGGAAGTTCCCTATGGCCGTTGGCGAAGACACCAAGTGTCCCTCCTCTCTGACATGACTGTTTTCACACAGACGCTACCCTGAATGCCGTTGCCTCAACTTCGGATCCTGGTTTATGTTTTCCTTCCCCATTGCTGTTATCCTTCTGCTCTTGTCCTGGATCTGGCTCCAGTGGCTTTTCTTAGGATTCAAGTGAGTAGACATTTCATGTGAATGTGATGATTGAAGGTGTAGGTTCCATGTTCTTAGCTCTATATCCAGTGCTCTCTCTCACCTAAGACAGGTATGTTGTGTTTGCACAATTTTCATACCCACAGCATTAACATATGTGAACACATTTGAAGAGTAAGCTAGAACCATTTTAAAAAATACTGGCACTGATAGGCTCTGTAAAGTACAAATCCATCCAGGTGTCCTTTGAATCCTAAACCAAGTAGGTGATAACTGGTTGGGGTCCTTGTCCAACAGTCAGAGTTGTTAGAAGTTTTGCCCCTCCATTTGACATAAGATGGAACATCACTGGATTATCAAGTGATTTTCAACTGTTAAAATGAAGTTAATGTACAGATGAGTAATCTTTCCAAGTCCTGCCCTTGCTTGGTCTCTGTGTCTTTTACTGTAAACAATGGAATTTATGTATAGTTGGTAAAATCACTCCCACCACCAGAATGTCCACATTTAAGGGCCGAAGTTGAACATATAGAAACTAAAGAAAAGCATACTGATCAATAAAGAACCACTGATACCACTAAAATGTCAAATGATGTAGGAGAATTCCAGCACACTGCTTTGTCTAGGATTGAAGCTGGCATTTCATAAGCACCAGCTAGTTTCACGACTCAGATGTCAGCCAGCAGAAAAATCATACCCCACAAAATCTAAAATGCAGCCTGGATTTTCAACTTACTTAATAACATTCTAAAAGAAAATAGCTGTGTAGCAAATCTTGAAGATTTTTTTCTTGAATAATAAAATATTTTGAATTCATATTTATAGTTATTTAAATAATTTCAATGATCTCTGAATAAAACAGCATGCTATTCACCAAGACAGCAAGGCTGAACTCAGCTGTTTGTACTTCACTTTGTTGTGACACCCTGTCTAGTCTGTGGACATAGTTTTCAAGCCTAGTAAGGTAAGGACTGATAATTTCCCTTCTCCGGTCTTCTTCCTATTGTTTGCCGTAACTGCCCAACTGTGTCAGTAGCTGGAAGATGACACTGATGGTTTTAAAAACATTCTATCCAGATTGTAGGAGCAGCATGTGGCAGTCCTCCTGCTGAAACAAATGTGTGGAATGTCACTGACTTCAGCAGGTGGCCTTCAGTGTGGCAGGCCAGTTGCATACTAAGCACTTCTCCTGGGAAATCAAGCCTTTGGGGGCTCTTCAGTTGTACAGGTTGCAAAGCTGGAAGAAGGGAGAACAAGGCCAACTCAGTAGATGCAATATCCAGTACTTGCCAGCACTGTTGCATTCTTTGTTGCTACATCCAGAGACTTTACAAAAGATATCCAACCTCTGTCATTATCTTATCACTGAGAATGAAAACATTAAGATAAAGTGCAGAACTGTTAACACAATCTCCCAGTGAGGCACAAAAGGCCTGTGAAACCACTCATTAGGCAAAGTCTTTAAGTCATCATCAGTGGTGTGTCTAAACAGTCCCCTTGCTGGCCACTCTTGGTTAGATATAGCACAGTTTCATGTTCCAGCTAATTTTAAAGTGTCCTTTTCAGTCTGTCAGTGTGTTCACCTCCAAAGGCTGCAGATTGGCAAACAGAAATGATCTGCCACTCCTCTAGTAGGCTACCATACATTCTTATTAGAGTGTTGGCTGTTAGCACAGTTAATTCACCCATTATAAATGACTCCAACATACTTGGGAAGAGAGGCTTATCTATCAGTGCCTCTGCACTTAGATAAATGGAGAGGTTGACACATTGTCATATGCTTCATCAGTTCCTTTGTAACGGCATTAACCTTCATTTGCAGCAAAGCCAATTGGATTTGACTGAATTGTTTACTGTCTGCAACCAAAGTGACAAAGGGCACCTGCAGCTTAGAGGATGGGAAACAGTCTCTAAGGAAGAGTTTTATCTTTGGCAATTCTTTTCTACTGGCAGTTCTCAGGATAGGCCACCTGTTTCTTAGGATAATATTATTTATGATAAAATAGGCTATAAAATTTTGAGATTGGCACTAGTCAGCAATTTAATTGAAATGAAAATTTCATTATTCTTTCATTGATCATTTAATGTAGCACTATCCTACCAATTATGTTCAGAGGTGATCGGTAATCACACCTGATCACATCAGCATGAGAAGGATTGTGAATCGCTACGGTGGATGGCTCAAGAATCAAGGAAATTCAGCTTCTTCATGAGAACCATAGTCCAAAAATTTATATAGTGTAATTGTATGAAAAACTGTTACAAAACAAAACTTATGTTTCCTTTGATAACTACTCTCTCACGTCCCAATCGTCCTTCTTACTCTTTCCTAAATCATCGGTTTTACAGAAGGACACTACCCACTTTGCTATACCCATGCATGATATTAACTAATTGAGCTACTCATAAACATTCCAAGAGATAATCCTAAGAATCTAGCTATGTCCTCATTTGTTTCTTCCTTAAGAGGGATTTATTTTTAAGTTTACATTTAGAGCAGTGCTCCACAAAAATTATTCAAATGTTTGAAGACTCTGGACTTTGAGACAAAAAAAAAACCCAAACGAACAATAAAACACCACCACCAACAACTAAAAACAGTCATAGTGAAAACAGGCCACTAAAACCCACAGCTAAAACAATGGTAGGTAGCACTGAGAGTACACTAGAAGGTGGTCTGCTCTGTGCTTTTAGGGCTGGGGTGGAGGAACTTACAGGGAAACGATGGTCTGAATTTGGGTTACTTCTATGAATAGAGCTAGTTTGGACTCTGATTAGGATCAGCATGTGCAGCTTCTGTGCCCTAGTGTATGACTCAAGTTTAATATCTTTGTGAAAATTGATGGATCTAACTTCAACTGTCTCATAAATTTGCCAAGGACTGTTGAGTGGGTGAGTTGAATATTTACTGTGTAAGCCACTGTTAAGAGATAGTGTTCCAAAGAGAACATCTGTGATATGGTCACTGTCCCTGTCCTCCATGTTTCTAACTAGTGGAATGAAATTTTCACATGTACAATAATTAGCAACCAAGATCCACAATAAATATGTATTTTAACGTAATATGATTATTGAATATATCCATATATACAATATACTTTCCAGATAGATGATAGATAGATGATAGACAGATAGATGATAGATAGATAGATAGATAGATAGATAGATAGATAGATAGATAGAAGAAAGATAGATAGATAGATAGATAGATGATAGATAGATGATAGATGATAGATAGAACAGATGATAGATAGATGATAGATAGATAAATAGATAGATGACAGGGTAGAAATGAAGTTAACCAAAGAAGATAAAAACATGGCAAATAAACAGTTGGTGGCAAGGTGGCTCAGTCAGTAAAGGTAAGTGCTGCCAAATCTGCTGACTTGAGTTTTATCCCCGAGACCCATAGATAGATAGATAGATAGATAGATAGATAGATAGATAGAAAGAAAGACAGATGATAGATAGCTATAGAGACATGAAGGACATGGAAAAATTGAGTACTACCAAAAATCTTAAAAAGGGAAGAGATGAATAGAAAATGCAACAAAAATTAACTATCTAAAATTGAGCAAGCCAGACAAAAACAGAAAAGAAGAAAAGGATATTCAAAGGAGTCAGAGACACAGGGATGATACACCAACCCCTGGTATCTCCATAGAGAATTATATTTTATAAAGCTTTCTTGAATTTATCTTCCATAAAGGAGGGTGGTGAAATGATCCTTTACTTAACTCTAAAGGCTTTATTTCTTCTTTTCAGTTTTAAGCAGATGTTCAAATGTGGCAAAACTAAAACAGTCAATGAAAAAGCTTGTGCTGAAGTGATCAAGCAAGAATATGAAAAACTTGGACCAATGAGGTAAGACAGACACATACATGTATGCGTGCACACACACACACACACACACACACACACACAACACACACACTCCAAATAGTTGTTTCAAATAAAATAATCATCTAATCGTCCATGAGGTATTTATATCAGTTGACCAAGACCACAAATCTACTAAGCTTTGTGACTATAACCTGGTATAATAAAATGCATACAATTGTCCAACTAAAATTTACCAGGTAGAAAAATAATACTAAGACAACACCCTTACTCCAAAAACCTGGAGAGGAGAGAGGGCCTTTTCTACTTTTTTAAGTGTACTAGTGCTTTCCAAACAAGAGCACACCCAGGTCCTATCGTGGTCAGTGCTCTCCTAGGATTATGCTTGATAACGGCTCAGAGTTTTCACAACTGTTCTGAGAAAATAAGAAATAAAAACAGTGGGATATTTTTTTCCCCCACAGGTATCAAGAAATCGTGACCTTGGTAATCTTCATTGTAATGGCCTTGCTCTGGTTCAGCCGAGATCCCGGGTTTGTTACTGGTTGGTCTGCCCTGTTTTCAGAGTAAGCATTCATGATGTCTGTCAACCCTTCCTGTTTTATGTTGTGCTTCTTTCCTTGTCCCGCAACTTTGAAAATCTTCATGAGATTTCTTTCTTCATTTCTTTGGAAAATAGTTTTTAAATTTCGAATCTTTTCAGGAAAAAAATATATGGAATTAAATGTAAAGTAAGAACACAGAAATGGTAGCCATAATATTCTGTAACAAAACAAGAGTCCATCAGACAGGGATCTATGTCCATCTTGACAAAGTTAGAAATTTAAGCTGCAGAAAGGCCATGGTCTATGCTGGTTAAGAAGGTAGGTGTTTAGAGCCACACTTCCTGGATCCCTTCTGGATCTTCTCCTGACTTTGGGAAAATCACTGCGTACTCACTTTCTTCATCTAAAAGAGAGAAATAATAGTAGCGCCTAGAATAGTGTTAAGTTTTCTCCTAGAAAAAGTACTAAGTGTTTATTATATGAAATAAATGCCATATGATGCCTCTTAATATTCTGACACATCTGTGATCATATTCTCTGATTTTTAAATATTTTAATTTCTATAGAAGATTATTTATTGGACTCGATATTTTCTTTTGCACCATTACATGCATTTTTGCACTAGTACATTACAAAATTAGCCTTGATTCCATTTCATAGATAAATAAGTACTAACTAATAAGAATGAGTTCAAAGCAAAGCTGGAAACCAGTCAGAATTGAATTTACCTCTTAGTATTGTGTATAGCAGTAGCTGTTGCTGAGTCATGTGAAATGAAGAGGAAAGTTTTAGCATAATTTGCTACATTAACCTTTGTACATAACAATATAATTTGGTTTTAAGATCTGGGTTCCAAACCTATCTTTCACTGGTGTACTCTGATTCCTAAATCCAGTAGATTTTCAACTTGGACTTCTTGTCTTACATCCCCGGCAAGAACCCACAGAGTTTGGAGGCAGAAATCAAGTTAGATGTATTTTGGCCTCAGAGAATAAAGAAATAACTGTTTCTCTCAGCCAAATCCTTCAGGTTTTATAGGCATTGCAAATTATTTTTTAAGGTGCACAGAATGAATTCAAATTTCTTATGACCACACTGCCTCAAGGAATGCAATGAGATGTCATCTTTTAAAAGATCAACTTGAACTTCTTATTTGCTGTAGGCATAAAACTTTTCATTGTGAGGGTTCCAAGCCAAAAGAATCATTTATTTATTTAAAGAAAATCATTGATTAATAGCAAATTAGTACTTTGTATTTTCTAATAGGATCTAGAACAAAATAAAAAAACAGTAATCTTCTTTCCCTTTAAAATACAACCCCTACCATCCTAAGTAAAGAAACCTCTTGGCCTCTAAACACTAATGAGTGGAGAACTAAATGGAATCAGGCAATAGCTAATATAACCAAGGAGAAATTCCAATAGGAAATTCAATACAATCAGCATCTAGTTTTTAGTCCTTATGGGAAGATAGTGTAGCTCAGGATATGTTTTGTTTGTAGGAGGAAAACTGTGTTCTGAGCAGTACTTCTTCTGTCAACCCGCATTGTGGGAGAAACAGTAGGAAAATGACTAAAGGCAGGAGAGAGGATGGAATTGAAAATAGAAACTGGACTGACAAACACTAAGCAAACAGAATTTGTATAAGCTTAATATTTCATAGTACTCTGTAATCTAATTAATAATGAACTCAAACAAAATCGTGACCAAACCATTATAATTTAAAATGTCATATGAAAATATTTTCAACATTTATACCTCGATTTATTTAAAGAATAGACTCTGTAAAATACACGTACTATGTGTAAGTTTTAGCCAGCTACAGTTTCTAAAGCTAGTATGATATATTAAGATTTATTTTTCCCACCTAATGTTTTCATTCCATCTGTTTGAATCTGGACTGAATTCAATATGTCTTTTCACATAAAACAAAATCCAGTTACATGACTGCTGGCCCAGTTTGGCAAAAACTCAGCCAAAAAAATACAACTAAAATAGAATAACGAGGAAACAATACACTTGTGAAAAATTTATTGTCAAGCTTCCTGAATAAATTAAGCCATGGTAAGTTTTTAATTAACAAGGAAAGAAAGTAAAACTCTATTTAAGATAGGTTGCTTTAAAAAAATGTCAAGTTGAGAAACAATACATTTTCTTGGTTGTTTAGATTTTTTTCAAATAAATTATAGGAGCAGAGACACTTGCATAGAAAATAAATATATTGAGATATAGACAGAAAAGTATTCCTTATGGTGTATGTACATATTTCGTCTCAGGGTACAATGCACATAGTTGACTGCTGACTTCTAAAGCTGTATTCTAATTATTTGTGCCTGTGTCATTTGTATCTGATCTCCAGGTGTCTCTTAAGTGCTGAGGCTTCTGGGGATCCTTTTTGCTGGAATTGTCTGGCGATTCTTAGCCCCCATCTGTTCCTGAATCACTCTTAATTTGTACAGTGATCATTTGTGAGCATCTCATAAGCCATTCTGATAATTAATCTTCTTAAGTTTCTAGAGTGCAAACATCATATGGATTGATTTCATTTGTATGGTATGGCTAGTACCCACTGCAGAAGCAGATGTTTCATCTTAGACGCCAGATCAATTTGCTTTCATAGTGTATAGAAGAGTTGAAGGGGACATTGGCAACATCATATTTTGCTACAATTCAATAAGAGGACATTATAAATCAATTAAATGGAGGCTTGTCTTACTCCAGCAACTATTTCAAGTTCATTTCTCTGACATATTATAGTGAGAAAGCAATAATTCATAAGGAAATTGGTTGACAAATATGAAAATTTAACTGAAAGAAAAAAATTGCTTCATTGGCCTAATCACTACCACATCTCTATACATGGTATCGACAATATGCAAAACGTACTGTAGTAAAAGGAATGTGGTCTGAGATGATTGGTCCTGGTAAGGTATGTCTCTTAGTTGGAAATCTATAGGTTTTAGCTCAGACTGTCCAGAGAGAATCACTTATACCACCAGTACTACTTCTGTACTATTACATAATTAATTGATGTCTTAGCTCATGCACGTCCTTAGTGCCATTTTTAATATACACATTTGTTTTTATTTTTCAGATACCCTGGTTTTGTTACAGATTCAACTGTTGCTTTAGTTGCGGGACTCCTTTTTTTTCTAATCCCAGCTAAGAAATTGACTAAAACTACATCTGCAGGAGATGTTGGTTGAGTATCAGTTCTAATCTAATTGCATTTGCAAAATATTTAAAACTTTGAAAGTTCATCATTTTCAGTTGGTACCTAGAACATAAGAAATTGCCATGTCAACACAACCTTTGTTTTACTACACCCTGCTTATACCCTGTACCCTCTGTCCAGCCACTGTGACTCTCCACCCATGGGAATACTCATTTGAGTTTTCAGAAGTAAAGAATATCCTTTTACACCACTGTTAGGGTTCTTCTGTGGGTGGTACTATTTGACATATGATAAATCCACTTCCCCTACCAAAATCAGAATATTTACTGGTTGGGTAACATGAACTTGAAAGTCGCTTTAAGAAGACCTCTAGATGATAAGTGTGAAGACCTAAAAAAGGATGGATTTCAGGAGAATGAGCACTTATAGATTCATAGAGGTCCTGGAGGAAAAGAAAATCAGCCTCACAAAGGGTCACAACTGGAAAACAGTTAGCACGAGCACTCACTGTACTTGCATCCCAAGGACAGGGAAGCATACACATCTGTACACATCTGTAGGAACTCGAATTTTCCCACATGCACAGAATTCAGTCATATCTGTGCTTACTGATAAGAGCAAATTTTCAGGATCTATATTCCTATATTTTATCTATGTAGGAGAAATGATTTAAAATACTTTTGAAACAGAATTTTGTGATTCTTTTGTCTATTTTTACTGGAATGGAACTGGAAATTGTGTAGTTGGGTTCGTCTAGCTGACATCTTAAGTAGTTGTCCATACATGACTAATATTGGATATTTTTTAACATGATACTCATGAACAACATAGAGTAGCAATAAAATCTTTTTCTGCATGAGATTAGAATGTCTCAATGTGTGTTAAGGAGCTATTGCAATCTCTAGCAATGTTTCCCATGTAACCCTCAAGATTGTTCTCGATGACCTAACACTCAGCAATGGCAAGTACTGAGGAATCATCAGTTACTTTAGCCTCACTGGCTCCTACCTCTGAATCTCCTCCTTCAGAAAGATCCTTGGCACTAGCAAGCTCTCTTTCTGCCCTCATTATTTAAGAGATTTCTCTCCCCAATAAACTTATGCACACACTGTTTTAAAATGATGTGTAAGAACACAACATGTTAAATTTTAAGTAAGTGATACACTTCAAAAGATTTTTGCATTTTGATAGTGCATATGGTCTTAACACAAGGAAGAAACATGGTGGCAAAATTTCAGTCGTAACTAAAATTTGGCTTGAATCTGGAAAAGGAATGGAAAGGAAGCTAACAGTGTTCTTATTTTCACCTGTAGAGAGGATACGTGTTACATACAAAGGTTAAGTGAGGATACGGTGTTTCTAAATGAACTTACCTATCAACGAGTCAGTAGAGATAGATCAGAAAGAATCTTTTTGGTTATTACTTTATGAGCATGATCATTCTTGGCAATACCTCAACATTCAATTATGAACTTTGGATAATCCTTAAACTAGAATACAGATCCCTCTTATGGTTAAAAAATATTTTAACCAACATTAGTGGATAATAAATAAAATTCTATGCTGATACTTTTGGAGAGCCAATATGATATTAACCAACATTTTATATAAGAATGAAATGAAGGAGCTGGAGAGATGGCTCAGTAGTTAAGAGCACTGGTTGCTCTTACAGAGGACTCAGACTCTGTTCCCAGTACTTACATGGTGACTAACACGTCTTCATAATTCCAGTTCCAGAGAATCCACTGGCCTCTACTGACCTCCATGGGCATTGTATGACACGAGTGCACATATATACAAACAGGCAGTACACTCATGCACATAAAATAAAAATAATAGATAAGATATTTTAAACACAATGAAAAGAATATTTTCTAGTTTCATTTCTGTTGCTGTGATAAACTATCCTGACAACAAAGCAGCTTAGGCAAAGAAGGGTTGATTTGAATTACAATTCCAGGTTACAGTCTATCATGGGGGTGGGGCAGATTAAGGCAGGAGCTTCAAAGAGCTAGTCACATTATATCCACAGTCAAGAGCAGAGAGAAACAAATGCATTCACACTTAGGACTCAGCTGGGTTCGGGTACTCTTATACACTCCAGGGCACTGCCCATGAAATGATGCCACATACTTTCAACTGAATATTCTCACATTGATTATCAATCATGACTAAGTTGTATCAATGTACAATTAGAGCTAACCATCACAGTATAGTTCAATATGCTTACTCATGCATAGTAGAAGTAGAAAAATGAATGAATGAATGAATGAATGGCTTTGCTAATGACAACACTATAATTTATCTAAACATATTTCAAAATGTTATCCAAAGGATTTTTCCAAGTTGGAGAAGTTTTCATTATGATGGCCTAGGATTTTTCCACCTAGGCTCAGTGGAAATTCAGACTCTAGGTCAAATCTCTGTCTTGAAAACAATACCAAAACATTATAAGCTTCTTATGTGATAACTTGGATACTGATAAAAATGTCATATTGTCATATTTTAAACAGTATTTAACTATAGGATTTTGTTTTGCAGTTGCTTTTGATTTCTCTCCACTGATTACTTGGAAAGAGTTCCAGTCATTCATGCCTTGGGACATAGCCATTCTTGTTGGTGGAGGCTTTGCCCTGGCAGATGGCTGTCAGGTAATGCTCAGTGTGTAAGATATTTAACAATTAACTACACTATTGAAAAGAAGAACACAGAGAAAGTCAACCTTGGGCATATTCACCTTTACCTTATCATTTTAATAATGCAGAATTCAATATCCATGCAGTGAATATACCACACAGATGAGGTGAGTTCATAGTTCGAGAATTTTTACAGGCTACAAGCGAAAACATAATTTTATGGTGCTCCAGCATATCAAAACATAATGCAAAGAAGATTAAAATTCTTAATATGTGAAATTATGTACAAGAGTAGCTTAGTAAGAGAAAAACTAACATTTATAAAATCTATAGATGACTCCTAACGGGACTTGTTTTTGTCTGTTTATACTTTTACCTTATTTAATGAGGAATTTGAGTCAGTCTTGGTTTCAATGCCATGGTTCTACTGTTGTGAAGAGAATGAGAAACAATATTATCATTAACTGTATCTAATAAGTGTCTAGTGAATGAAGTTCAGAGAGAATTTGATATGACAATGTCTAATGTATCATTCCCAATGTCAGGAGGAAATAAAAACACGGCAAGGCAGACAGTTGGCCATTCTTTGATCTATCCACCCAGCTGAGGCCCTTGTCCCTTCTAATTGCCCTGGTCATTGTAGTCTGCTGGAAGAAAATTATCTTCTCTAAACATCTAATATAAATTCTTCACCCTTGTCTGACTAAAAACCATTCATTCCTGGATTTTATATCCTTTTATAAAATACTCACAGCTGATTTTATTCCTCATTTGCTTAACTGAAACCTAAAAAAAAATGGTGAGGGGTTGTGGTGCCAAGTCTCTGGCTGCTAAGACGTTAAGTTTTGTTAATTCTCAAGATAAACCTCTATCTCCTCTTTCTTCTTCTTGATAACTTTTTGGGAGATTATTCTTTGCTCCTAACTTTATTTCCAGTTTTCTGTGTAGTATTTAGATGCTGAATTTTTAGCAATAGGATTTAGTAATAGGAATAAGTATTAGAAATTGTCTCAATTCAGAGAGCCTTTTCCAAAATTGTTTTAAGCTTAGATTTGCCTTTCCTCATAACCTGTCCAAATAGAAATGGTAGAAATATAAGATAATAGTTTTCTTTTCTACTATTTCAGCAGTAATGAGATCTGAATTCTCAGAATAAATCGCTGTCATTCCTATGTCTGGTGATTTGAACTGTGAGGACAGCAGAATCAGAAAGTCTGGCATTGATATGAATTTTGCTCATCTCTCCTCAGAATATCTGCCTAGACTGGACGTTAGACACTCAAAGTGACTTTGAAAGCATCGACCAGACCCTAGAACAGCAAAATCTGAGGAAATGAAAAGGTGTGGATTTAGTCTGATGCACTCGGCTCTCTCAGTGAAGGAATTAGGAAACCATGGAGGGAGGACTTACTTGTTATCAAAATATCCTAGTAACCAGAATCTGCATTCTGCAACAATTCTCAGAGAAACCTACTCCTGAGTGGCCAAACCGAAGTCTTGAGCCTCAAAAGACTATGTCTGTGGGAAATATGACCTTGAAATCGGTTTTACAAAATATTAGGAGACAGCTTATAAAAATTTTATTCCAAACTATAATTTGTTCGTTAAATGTCTCAAACCAGGAAACACTTCTGAAGAAAGTGAGATGATGGTTTTACATCGTTCACTTTACACTGGGCCCCTCTCTTAAATGCCCCTTGGTTTGACTGAACATGATGATGTCTCATAAGATTTGGTAAACACTGTCCAATTATTAGCAGTGAATAACTCCTCCTCTTTCTTTTTCATACATGCTTCAAAAGTTTTCTCCCAAGGTAACCATGAAGGATTAAACAATGTTTTCTCAAATGCTTACTGAGCTCCATCCAGAAAGACAAGAACTATATAGCACAGTCAGTAATAGACAAAAGATATAGAAAATGTTATAGATGCAAAGAAGATATTTGAAGAGTAACTTAACTTTGTACAAGTAGATGAAATGTGTAGGCTAGAAAATGGAAGAGTCAAAAAGATGTAGTTTATTGATAAGATCCTGAACAGCTAAAGGAATTGGAGCAAGAGATAACATTATAAACATGGAAAAGCTAAAAAATATTATAGATGGTTCAAAAAGTGTACAAAGTGCTGTAATCCTCTCAGAAAACCACCCGCAGTTCTGAAGACCCAGGTGGATGTTAGAAAACTGAGGTTTGCTGTGCTGCAAAGCCGAGGCCACAGACGCTGGCTCGGGTAGAGTCTCCATCAACAATTCTCGCACAGCATGAAGAGCTTCCAAGCGTCATTTTATGGTCTTTGAAAAAAACAATACCTATCCAAGAACACCAGGCAATTGGGGACGCTTCATATACAATGAAAGTAAATAAAAGTAAAAGAAGCATGGAAATAAAAAGAAGTGGAATAAAGATAAAATGAAAAAATGCTTAAAGCAGAAGAAACTTTTAAATGTGTCATTGGTGCCTCCAAGATATTAGAAATACCAAAGACACGAAACTAAAAGAGAATGTTATGGTTAAAAATTAAATAAATAAATAAATAAATAAATAAATAAATAAATAAA